AGGAGTAGTGTCTCAGAAACCCAGAAGCAGGTCTACTGTGCTCTGTCGGGTTGCCATACTCTAGTCAGAATTGACTCAATGGCGGTGCCTTTGGATTTTCTTGTTATTGTTGTTTTTTCATGGCAATTACTATAACTTAAACAGTCCTGCAACAATAGAGTTAACAGACAATAAGCTATAAATGAATATACAGGTAGATTGGTATGGTAAAGAGGTGTGGGATGTGTAAGCGAGAACACTCACCTGCAGATATGGGCTCAGTTATAGATATTTTTATATATGTAATTGTAAGTGCTGCAGGTACATTAATAGAAACAGTAAGCACACAAGAAGCAGGGTGGAAACTTCTTAGACATAGCCTCATGGTACAAACTTCCTAGGTTCAAAGCTGAATGACAGTAGACTCAGGACATTCACTTTAATTGGCATAACGTGATTCTGCACCCTATTTAGTAAGTAGCATCTGAAGTCTTTAAGGCTGGTGAGCAGACATCTAAGGTACCACTTTCTAATTAGGGAAAAGGAAAGTGAAGCAAATCAAAGACTCAAGGAAGTTTGCATGACCATGAGACCAGAAGAACCAGGTGCTGTCCGACTACCACTACCAACTTCACTGACTAGGATCATCCCAGAGTAGGAGAAAACGTAGAACGAGAAATCAGATTCACAAAAAGACTAGATGTACTGATCTGACAGAGACTAGCGGAACCCTTGAGACCAGGGCCCTAAGACTCTCTTCTAATCTGGAACCGAAGCTGCTTGGAGGCAGCACTTTTCAGCCAAACAAAGGATGGGCCCGTAGAGAAAACAGTAAGACTGAGAGGGACAGATTCCTTAGAACAGTCGATTATGAGAAATCCAAAGGACAGCATTTGGCCAAAAGCGATGGGGAGAAGGCAAAGGGGGATAGAAAATCCAGAGGAAAGGAATCAGTGACCATGGGGTGCCTATGAGAAGAGAGGGGGCATGTTTGGGAAGTACAGCCAAGGTGGGGGTCATTTTATGTACAAACTATTGAGTGGGAAACTAATCTGTTCTGTGAACATTCACCTAAAACACAGTGCTTTTTAAATTTTAATGAAAATATTTTCTGACCTACCAATCTTAGTCACCCCAATTTTAGTTTCCCCTATGCTGAGTTCCTAGGGATGGCTTCCAAGTCACCAGCCACTCTGGGAGAAAGATGAGGTTGCCTGCTCTCAGATGAAAGATTTACAGTCTGGGAAGCTCTACGTAGGGTTGCTATGAGTCAAAATCAACTGAATGGCCGTGGGTTTGGGTTCATCTGAGTTCCAGAACTCTTATGGCACAGTTAAAGTACTTGATTGCTAACCAAAAATCTGGTGGTTCGAACCCACCATCTTCTCCTCAGGGAAAGTTGTGGCAGGTTGCTTCTGTAACAATGTGTAACCATGGAAACTTTATGGGTCTACTTTGTCCTATGGGGTCACTATGAGTCAGAATCAATTAGACAACAACGGGTTTATTTTGAGTTCTCAAAAGGGAAAAGTTTGAACCCACCAGTGGTGGGTTATCTGTTCCCATGATGATTATCTGTTAGACTTGGTTATCTGTTCCCATGATGATTACAGCCTAAGGAGCCCTGCAGGTCAGTGCCACTCTGCCATTTAAGGTCCCCGTGGATCAGGACGGAATCAGTGGCACACCACACAATGACAACAACATTCTGAGTTCCTGTCTGGGTGGTGCAGGCTCAACGACTGACACGTCTGATTCTCCCCACAAGTATCTCCAAAATGTCCAGCAATCTACTTTCAAATATCAGTCATTGAACACCCTATGCTGCACAGGTCTACTCCAACACCATGGGGTCTCCATTAGATGGAAATGACTCAGTGGCAGCTGGCTTGGCTTTGGGTTTACTCTGTGTTCCAGAAATACCAGAGTTATGTTCGCCTACCATACTTAGCCACATGGTAGTATCAGCATTGACTTAACTGGTATGTCTCCCTGCTGGCTTAGACATCTCTTGACTTCACTCCCAGATCAATAACTGAATGCATTGCATGAAGGAAAGGATGAAGCAGGGAAACAAGACCCTCTCCCATTAACTTTGGTGATAACCTGAGACTACCTACAGAGAGGCTCCCACGTGCCAACCTGAAAACCAACTCATTGGAATTTTCTGGAAGGAAAACTCAGATTTTCAAACCCATTCTTAGATCTTCCTGTACACAGATCTGAATTTGTATGGCATCCCCTTTAGGCCATTTTGATGGGTACCCAGTTCTCAAGACTACTTATCATGACCTTGTTTTCCCTTAATGCAAATATGTTCAAACATGGGACAACTGACGTTAAGGTTAACACCCCACCCCCACCTCATAAAAATCACATAAAAATAAAATAAGGAGAAGACTCTTTCCTCCTTTACCTTTTTGTCTGCACCGTCTTCTCAGCAATGCCAGAAGTGTCCCACCCATCAAGAGACCACTTGTAGAAGCCACGGCTCCACCAAAATAAGTCAGGGCTTGCTGGACAGTCAATGGCCCTGCTGTAAAACACACCCACATCATCAAAAGGGTCTTGTGTCGGAAGAGACCAGTCCTTCCCCTGGCGGTTCCCCAGAACACTGAGATTGTCAGGTCAACAATGGTCATTGGTGCAACCAGACACCGGAGAAGATCTGGAGGGGATGAAGCAATGGCAGCGGACAAGAAGTAGGACCCAGTCTTATCCCAAAGACGTAAGTATCACAAGTAATTTCTGAGTCAAGGTGAAGACTTCCTGAAAAGATCGAAATGATGACAGAATAAGGGGAAGTGCAGACAAATAACCACGAAGCATTTACTGGACAGTTGAACAGAAAGCTGCACAAGAAGCAGAAATCATTAGCTACCAGGGGTAAAAGTTAGGAGGAAAGGGAGGGGAAATAAACTTTGTAAACAGTTTTACTAAGGAAAGTCCAGGTGTTTGCAGAGATATGTGATATATCTGATGGGATATATAACTCATAGGAAAGATATGTGATATATGTGATGAGATATATAACCCTCTCATATTAAGTCAGTCTAAAACTCCAAGATAGATTAAAAACATAGTATAAAGAAATGAGTGGTGACTGTCCATACAGAGTGGTGACTGTCCATACAAGTCTCTGTATAAGACTTGGAGGCTCAGCTTGACTCATTGTGAAATGTAGAGTAAGAGCAGGGGGCA